TTCCCAGTGAAGCAATGCCATACTCAAGAACAAGCCTTAATTCACATGAATAACTCAGAAGTGTAGAATAGTGTCTGGGACGAATGGTATACTAATTAAGTTGGCTTGGGGTGACTCCTGTACTTATCTAATACTTATTGTTTCTTTGTGAATGCTGGTATATAGTGTTTACAGGGTCAGTCATGTACATGTTTACGTATGTCAAAAGTACATGCCAAAGAAAAAAACTATTTTCTTGATTTTCGTTCAGATTAGCTTAATTGTAGGCATACTTGGTACAATTATTTTTTTTTTTTGAGATAAATACTCTGTACAAATTCAAGTATATTATGTTGGATCGAAATTTAGTGCACATTTGTAAGCTGAAAAACAACAAATGGAATGGCTCAAAAGGCAGAAGAAAAATAAAAAACATTAATTAAAAGGTCATGCTGTTCTCATCCATATTCAACTAATTTATGGTAGTTTTTGGTTGTTTTCAAATATTTAGAAAAAAAAAAGATTTTGTGTAAAAAAAAATAGGTGTCGAAATTCACTTTTTTCACGTTTCTGTGACTAGTGATGGTGGAAGTGTCGAACATTGGATTGGGACTGTGTGTGTGTGTGTGATGAGTTGTCAATTGTGAATGTAATAGGAAGAAGACATTGAAGAAGTACTGAATTTCCATGTCTGTGCTTTCATATATGTCTCTGTCTCTTACCCTAAAATTCAACACATGCAAATATACTAAACAACAATACAAAAAACTATTTATATAATTAACAACAAAACAGTAACAAACAAAAATAAAACAGTAACACATAAAATTACAATAAATAAACTGACCCGATTGCTGAGTAGGAACCAAAATTAAAATTTTACATCAAGGCTAGTGTTTAACATTATGTCCTTAAGGTAGATTTTGCCCCCACACTGAAACTAATGGAAATCTCAACATTTGTCTCTCATGATATAATGATCTTTATACAAATAAAAAGAACAGTCCAATCTGTTTATCCAACGAATCAAAATGTGTTTTGTACTACTAGAAATGATGATCTTAATTACGAAAATGATGAATGTAATAGTTGTCTTAATGACTAATTTTATAACGTGAATGTCGAATGCTAATAAATCTGGGCATATATATAGATGCAGAATTGATTGCTCCAAGCAATCACTGTTGATCAAACGCAATCTAGAAGACACAATTCATGTTTCCCTATTCATGAACATACACAAAATTCTAATTTAAACTATAGAAAAATTCAAATTTGAACTAGCACAAATTTTGAATTTTGGCAGGCAGAAATTAAAACTCGAGTTAAAAATCATGACCCATTTAGTAAACAAATTTTCCAAAAATATAAGGTTGGATTTCAACCACTCTCGAACCCAGCCAAACAACGGTGTGTGTGGGGGGGGGGGGGGGGGGGGGGGGTTGAACCTAAACCCATTTAGGTCCTCTTCTGTCCACAAAAGTGAAGTGCACCCTTGGGGCTCAACCATTAGAACAAACTTGAGGTATGTACATGTATGCTTATCAAATTTTTCTTGTCCAACCAATATGGGATTGGTGTTATATCTCATATTACTCGTCTTCTATTTATATATTTCAAGAGAATCACTTTAGAGTCTATTTTCTCATTCACTTTTTATTCGATTTAAGCAATCGAATAAAAGATATTATTCTCGACTCGGAGTAGAATAAGAACCCACAAAAAGTTACTCAAATCGATGATTGGATTTCACTTTAACTTAGGCTCAAAATTGACTGAAAATAAATTTTTTATACTTGAAAACTGTTTTAGTCTAACATAAGTTACATGATTTATATCGAAAATAATGTACAAACGTAGATCTTGTTTAATTTTTTTTGATGTACTAGTTCCTTAAAAAAAAAAAAAAGAATTAAATAATATATTTCAAATATGTTACTGACATTAGCTAATAAACAGTACCCAAACATAATTTTTCAATAATATCTTGGACCATTCATTCATTTTTATTTTTATTTTTTATTTTTTTAACCGGGACCATTCATGCATTGGCTAGTTGGGACAGAGCTCTCCATAAAAGAGCAAACAGATTAGATAATGGTAAAGTTAGTTCTTACTATTTCGGAAAATAAATCATAAAAATGAGGAAATTACTTTATTCACTGCCTCTACCCTATTTTTGCTCCCCCTACAAACGATTGACTCTTCGTTGGATTTGACAGTACAATTTGCAAGTGCATTGTATATGTATGATATGTTAAAATAATATGCCGTTCAAGAAACAACCTACAAGCAAGTCTGAATGTTCACTTCCAATAGGACTGTCCGTCCAAATAAAGATGATTGTGAAAACACTTAAAAAGTCGTTGCGTGTGTATTCGTATAATCGTTTATTTGGAATTTACTTTTTTAGGTGTAAAACGGGAGTTAGAAAAGTGAAATGAAAAAAATAGAATAAAAAATATTTTCAAAAAAAAATTGATTTTTTCTTGAAAGTCTTTAGATAAATCTCATTTTTCAATTTTTCCTTAGTGCTGATAAAGGTTATTTTTGCCCCAAAAAAATTATGAAAGAGCCACTTAATAAACCCTAGGTCCAAACTGACAAGGCTTTTTTTTCCCTTTGAAACTAAAAAAAATTGATGTTTTAAGCCAGCTTCAAATGTGCCCAATGTTTAGAAGTTAGAGACTAATTTTTAATGGAGGGCTGGTCTTCTGTTATGACTAAACCAGATTAAACTTTCTAAGGCATGAATATCTTTAAATCCCCATTTTATAGTTGATGAGACAGAAAACAACTTTGGACATAGGATGGGATTTTTCAGAACCCTAGCTAGCAGCCTTTTGAGACTAATATTTGAGAATTGCATCTAAAGTTGTGGATGGTTGAATTACATCTAATAACACATGCCACTAGTTATGAGATTCTAATGTATTATTATTTCCTATTCTAATGATACCATGTTTTCAACTTCAAAATGCTCATTTAAAAATTTAAATTATTAGAGATGATTTAACTTAAATATTTCAACTTCAAAATCTTCTTTTTTCACTCTAAGGGAGACATCTCTATTAGAATTTTTTGCATAATTGTTTGGAATAAAAAAAAAAAAAAAAAATTGGGAAGCAACAAAATTCCTTTTACTTTTAAGGATGTGGAATTCCCTTTCTAATTACAATTATTTTATTTTATTTTTGTCATTATATAAACTTTTCTAATCACAACTAAAAGGATTGAAATTTGAAGAAAGAAAAATGGTAATATAATACTACTTAAACTTAATTTATTGATCTAATTACTCATAACTATTAAATTAATAGTGGGCCACAGTATTAATTTAATACTTTATCAATCCATTAATTATGATAAATTAAGTCAATAAATTATATTCAAATAATATTATTGATAATGTTATTAGAACCGAAAGAAAACATCTGCTAGCGCTACGTTCTTCTTTCCAATAATGTGCTAAACACCCCTATCGACCTTTTTGCGATGGTTGTACGTAAGAGAAACCAAATTCTTTGCTAAGTTAATGATATGAGTGATAAGGCCTATGTTTTTCCTTGGAGCATTGATATTGTAATGATTGTTTACCTCTGCAACTAGCAGCCTGAAAAGATGCCCAACAAAAAAATAATGGAGGCCTATAAATCTCGTTTACAAATGGCATCTTTTAAAAAATCCTTCCTTTTTCTTTTTCTTTCTTTTTTTTTTTTTCTAATTTTCGAAACTCATATGGCAAATAATGCGATTGAAATAACGTATGCAACTTACCCCCAAAAAAAAATATCTATATTACGGTCATAATTTTTTTCAATAAGTAAATAGAATTTATTTGATGGAAAACAAATTTCACAATATCATTCAAAACATGTTAAGTATTAGACCCGACAAAATTTGGATACGAATAACAAATTCGATATAAAATTAAAATGAAATTATTAGATTTGGGTTTAATTTTAAAAAAGAAAGTAAAAAGGGTTCGGTTAAACTGGTCAAATTAATTTGTTAACTTAAATCCAACTAAACATGACAAACCCGCTAAACAAGAACTATAAACTGTACAAATTTAACATTACATAAGGCCGATTACACATGATTATAAATGAGCCCATTAGCTCAACACGACTTGAGTTCAACACCGCATAACCTATTTTGTCAGTTGGATACAGATCCCTCTAATGCTATATTCTATTTCATTCCTTTTTTCGTCAAATAATTCACCATTAATGAATAAAAGACCAACTTATATAGAATCGATCTCACCTGAACTTATGATTTAGCAAGAAGTAAAATAAAAAAAATATACATATAGTGAAGAGTCTCACTCCTTGCCTACTCATTTGGGCGCAAATATATATACTAGTCATAACTCATACTTTACAAAATTCGAGTGTTTAAAAAATTGATCCCACTATATTAAGTTTTTTTTAAATATATTAACTATAAATTAATTAAATATATGATAGAAATGTGTGATGTAATATTTTTAGGGAGGAAATAATTAAATAATTAAACATATGATAGAAATGAGTGATGTGATTTGACGTTTGAGTTTGACAAATGAATGATGAGTGAGGTAAGTGATCGGTGATAATTTTAAAGGAAAAAATATGACTGAGATAAAATTCAAACACATTCCTATTTTATTATATATATATATATATATCAAATGAAACATGCCATTTGGCATTTCGTATCTGACACTACCTATGAGATTCTGAATTCTTTACTGGCACGCATCTGGTTCTTAGGCAGATGCACAAGTTAGCTTTGTACACACTCAACAGTGCATAATTAGCGACAAAGATGGTCCCTTAAACCAAAATATCATGCAATTTCAACTATAAAAACCCTTATTAATAAAGGGTAAAAATAAGTCATTTTGTCCAAGAAAACACACACACAAACAAAATCACTTATTCATTTACTGTATTTCATCCGATAAAACCTGTTTATTGACTTAGGCATCGGAGGTGATTTGTTTCATATCAGACTAGTTTCTACTTTGAAGTTTGTCAAGAAGTTTTTCTTGACAGGTTTCTGGATTTCTTAGCTGGCAGAAGTCGAGAACAACCTCCGAAAACAGTTCTCCGACCAACAACCTCTCCACTAAAGTCCTCTAAATTCCAGAACAAAGTTCCCAATTGATCCATCAGTATCTGTCTTCTATTTCTTACTATGCATACATATTTTTCGTTCTTTAATGTAAACCCTATTTTATTATGTTATCTGTTCTTCTCCTTCTATGCTTGCATATCTTTCACTTCTCTTATGTAAAATCCTTGTTTTTTTGAATGTCATCCGTTCCTCCACTACTATTTCTTTGGTATTATCTGTTTGTTTAAGGTCTCGCAAGTCCTCATAATGGTTGTTAACCTTCCCAAGTACTGCCAGATGAAGACGACTTGCACCTAATCCCAAATTATATAACCGCAAAAAGCATAATGCTCGATTAATAATATAAATCATTTGGTTCAATTTTATTCTAAAATTAATAATCATCTCCACCTGAATGTCGTAAACATCTAAATTATTCGCATTTACTATAAAGTGGGCGACGAAAACAATAAGAAAATGCCACTAGGTTAAACAAATTATATAGGCTTGCACCCTGTGGACATTAAAATATCGTTACAGTCGTTCACAAGAAGACCAAGTACTATGCAAAAATTCTAACCACCTCGATACGACAATGTCGAGGATGTCCACGTGATTACTACACAAACAATTTTTTTTTCACTGATTAGCTCAATCAGTTTTATTTATTTTTTCACTGATAAGCTTAATCACTTTCATGATAGCGTTATAAATTTCAATTCTCTTGTCTTTAGCATTTGAAAATTTATAGTTGTAGCCATAGGTGCCACCCCACAAGAAACATATATTGCTTAGCCTATGCCCTTTGCCGTCCCCTTTGTATCTCTATGTATATACTTTTTCTAGGGGTGCAATTTAGGCGGGTCAACCTAAATTCAATTCCACCCCTACCCGAAAAATACAGAGCTTGAGTTAAAATTTTTAATACTTGGGTTGGGTTTAGACAAAAAAAATACAACCCGAATTGAATTTGGACAAGTCTCGAGTTGAAATTTTGGATTGTTGGTTCGACCCGAATATTAAATTGGGTTGAACCTGAATATACATAAATATATAATATATTTAATTAAAGTTAGTATTTATCTTTACTTTTTAAAGTTCAGAATTTCACTTCACTTCACTTCAAATCTTCACCCCTACACCTCCATCATTCTCAGATCCCTCTCTTACTCGTCACTCTTCCCTCTCTCAATCGTCACTTGTCTAAGTCGTCCAGACTCTAAGCCTCCCTCTCTCACTCATCACTCTTCCCTCTGTCATTCTTTCTTCATCTACATCTCATCGTTCACCTCAAATTATTTGAAAAAATCAAATTTACATTTCCAAAAAATTAAATTTACATTTCAAAAAATCAACTCGAATTAAGTAATCCAAGCCCAACTCGAAATCAACCTAAATTGAGTAACCCGAGCCGGCCGAATTAAACTCAGGTAATACTCAGGTTGAGATAGAGTTAGGATTGACCTCCCAACTCGTCCAACCCGGTCGAGTTACACCCCTAACTTTCTCTCCCTCTGCATGTGAAGGATTACATGGTATATTAGAACCATCAAAAGTAGCAATAATAGAACGCCACTAGGGCAGATTTTAGTGACAATTTTAGAAAATTATAAAAGACATTATTCCAAAAATTTTCTATAATTTGAACAGGAATGAATGTGTTACTTCTAATCTAGACTTTGTAAGTTAAAAAGACAATGTTTAGATCATTTTGTAAGCACTTTTTCTGGTTTTATCCCTTTCTTAGCAGTATTTTCGTAATCTTACATATTTTGCTCAGCTTTTTGTATTAATTTCGGACAGTAATTGATCATCAATATTCATCTTCTATATCATTATAGCAAAAAAATTTCTTGAGAGAGACTTTCAGAAGTTTTTCCTTTCTATTTTCATTATTTGAAAATTTTTGATTTTATTAAACTAAAGAATATTTTTTTCCCAACCAAAATCTTCTGCATGTTAAAGTAACCTTTCATCCAAATTACCACATTGTCTACAACTTTCCACTATCGATCTATCCATTTATCCAATTTTTTGAACCATCTCTGACTTCATACTTTTTCTAACTTCCACAACTTGCCCAGAGACAATAAAATAGGATTGAAAGATAGAGTAACACTATTTAGATCTAAAAATTTGATTTAATTTATTAACATAATGATGTGGCTTAATAGAAATTATTGGATCAACACCAAATTTCAATGTTTGATGAAACCTACAGTCAATTCAAATGTCACAGTGAATTAAGTCAGCAAATTATGTCAGATTTTTAGGTCCCAATAACATTGTTCTTGAAACATACATATCATGTGTCGCACGGATCGGACGCTAGTTTCAAATTATAAACATCAGTTAACAGTTATTATATTTTAAGTAATATTGTTTAGACCTAAATTGCTGATTTATTCATTATAACCATTCGATTGATTGTGAGCCTCATCAAATTTTAGAATTTGATACTAGTCTAATGATTATAATGAAACTACATCATTAAATCCACAAATAAATCATATTATGAAGTCTAAATAGTATTACTCTTATATTTTTTACAATAATATTTGAGATCATTTTCCTTTGTTTCACAATTAGTTTGATATTCTAGAAAGCAACAAAGTCATTGAAAGATCTTGTTTTGATATTATCTTCATATAATCAACATCTACCTTGGAATTGTGTCTCATATTTGGCGTTTTTCATAGCATGAACAGCAAAAACTGCCTCGTTCGCCGGCAGGCTATCGCTGTCTGTGACCAGCAGACTCACCAGAAAAGAGTCGTGTGGTCCGCTCCCGGACAAAAATAACAAACCTAAACCATGCTGACCTGGCCAACACCTTGGCCCCACCTGTCCCTTCTTCATTCAGCAATGCTGACGTGGTGCGGTCTCAACGTGTCTCTGTTTCACCATACAATCCTTTGGAGAAAAATATTTCGATGTCGACACAAAAACAATACTCCGTCAAGCCCCTAGCTTCAATCCATCCGTCCGTCCACGTGTACAATCTTACGTGTCACGTGACGTGGCAAAGTTTGACAAACACCAATTTGGCCTCCCTATATGAGCATGTTCCTTCTCAAATGACATATCACACCACTCTCTGAGTTCTTTAACAAACTCTCCTCTGATCTCTCTCAATCACATTCGCAGTTTTCACTTTCTCTCTCCAACTTCCTATCATGGCTGTTAACTCCAGTTTGTCATCGCCGCTCGGCCCTCCGGCGTGTGAGAAGGATGCAGAGGCTCTTCAGTTCATTGATGAGATGACCAAGAACGCTGACTCGGTGCAAGAGAAGGTTTTGGGAGAAATTCTGAGCCGAAATGCTAAAACGGAGTATCTTCAGAGGTTCCAACTATCTGGGGCAACAGACAGAGACAGCTTCAAGTCAAAAATACCAGTTGTTACCTATGAGGATCTCCAGCCTGAGATCCAACGCATTGCCAACGGTGACGGGTCCCCAATCCTATGTTCCCACCCCATCTCTGAGTTCCTCACCAGGTAAAATGATCTTTTCCGAGTAGAAGGGTTAGCGTAGTGGTAGCTTAGTCAATTGATAAGTGTCTTAACAAAACGTAGGTGAGGAGCACCAATACCCAACTAGTGTATATACCTCTAGGATTACTCCCGTTAGATTTATCATCGGTGTTGAGCGGCAGCTTTGCACAAGGATCGAACACTAGCTCGGTATACTGGTTGTTTCAATAGATGTGTGCGTGTAAACCTACATAGTTTTTCAAGTTCTTCGTTTGGATTTGCAGTTCTGGGACATCAGCTGGTGAAAGAAAGTTCATGCCAACAATTCATGAAGAGCTTGACCGCAGGCAGAAGCTATACAGTCTTCTCATGCCTGTGATGAACCTGTAAGTACTTAAAAATTGTTCGATGTTTGCCGGCCACAGTCGTATCTAGTATCAAATTCATAGTCAAAACAAAAAAAATAACAGTATGTTTAATAACTAACCCTCGTTTAATTGTAACAGTTATGTCCCGGGTTTGGACAAAGGGAAGTGGCTGAACTTCCTCTTTGTGAAGGCCGAAATCAAGACCCCAGGTGGTCTACTTGCACGTCCGGTCCTGACCAGTTACTACAAAAGTGATCATTTCAAGACCAGACCTTATGACCCTTACGTTGTTTACACAAGCCCTAATGAGGCCATTCTGTGTTCGGATTCCTTCCAAAGCATGTATACGCAGATGCTTTGTGGCCTCATCATGCGCGAAGATGTCCTCCGAGTCGGTGCCGTTTTTGCCTCCGGCCTAGTCCGAGCCATCAAGTTCCTTCAACTCAATTGGAAACAATTGGCTTCTGACATTGAATCAGGGACTTTGAACCCTAAAATTACTGACCCTTCTATTAGGGAATGCATGAGTAAAATCCTCAAACCAAACCCTGAATTGTCTCAGTTCATCACCAAGGATTGTGAAGGTGAGGTTTGGGAGGGTATTATTAGTAGAATTTGGCCCAACACAAAGTACCTTGATGTGATCGTTACTGGTGCAATGGCTCAATACATTCCTACTCTTGATTATTACAGTGGTGGGCTACCAAAAGCTTGCACTATGTATGCATCTTCTGAGTGCTATTTTGGCCTAAATTTAAAGCCGATGTCCAAGCCCTCTGAAGTAAGTTACACCATCATGCCAAACATGGGCTACTTCGAGTTCATCCCACACGACCCAGCGAACCCAGTGAGTCTCTCTCGTGACTCGCCGCCTCGCCTTGTTGACCTCGCCGACGTAGAAGTGGGAAAGGAATATGAACTGGTGATCACAACCTATTCTGGGCTGTGCCGATACCGAGTTGGTGATATCCTCCGAGTCACGGGGTTCCACAACTCGGCTCCCCAGTTCAAATTCATAAGGAGGAAGAACGTGTTACTGAGCATTGACTCGGACAAGACCGATGAGACTGAGTTGCAAAAGGCCATTGAAAACGCCTCTGCACTTCTACGTGAATTCAATACGAGTGTGGTTGAATACACAAGTTATGCTGATACTAAAACAATTCCTGGGCACTACGTGATTTACTGGGAATTACTCGTGAAAGACCCATCATTTTCTCCAAGTCACGAAGTTCTGGAGCAGTGCTGCTTAGCAATGGAAGAGTCAATGAACACGGTATATCGACAAGGCCGAGTCGCGGACAACTCAATTGGGCCACTGGAGATTAGGGTTGTGAAAAATGGAACTTTTGAGGAACTCATGGACTATGCAATCTCTAGGGGTGCCTCCATTAACCAATACAAGGTTCCAAGGTGCGTCAACTTTTCACCCATCATGGAACTCCTTGACTCTAGGGTTGTCTCGGCACATTTTAGCCCTGCTCCACCGCAGTGGACCCCAGAACGGCGAGGTTGATCGCGAAGGTGACGTCAAGTGAAGGAATAAAGGTTGCCCTGAAAAATCTGATTAGCCACCAACCAAACAGGCCTCTGGAACTTTGGACCTAAAAACTTCTCCCTTTTTTCTGTCTCCCTCTCTCTCTCTGGATTGTGATCTAGCTTTGAAAAGTGTCTTTAGTTTTGTTTCTTTTGAAATTGCAGAGTCTGATCTTTGGCTTTGTGTTGGTTCAAATAATCTGTACGCATGATGTAATTGTCACTTGATTGTTCTGTAGCGTATCGTTGTCTTTGTCTTTCTGCTTTCTTAAAGTTGGAGAAAAGATGTTGAAAGTTTATAAGTGTTGAATAGATCTTGTTTCTCTCATGGATGTAGTGGCCACCACGTAGATTTGTTCTCGTTTGAAGGGTATTTTTTTTTTTTAATAATCAAGAGCGTTCGAATTAATTTGTGTGTATTTTGATTAATTTTTTTATAATATGGCTAAAATCAAATCATTCATATCAGGACTAAAATATTCGTGAAAGATAATTCATTTATGTCTTGACCTCAAAAAATTGTCAAGATTCATATTCAATACATCTTAATTGTAATTTGTCTCTATTACCACTTGAATTACCTCTAAAACTATTGTTGTCTACTCCACAATGATTTTTGGGTTTCATATGTATGGACTTTTTTTTTTTCATATGGGACATATTTATTTTTCCACTTACTTGGTTTTCTCTCTCCTGATTTAGGGTTGTAGAGACAGTTAGTTAGCTATTTGTACTTAATTTTGGGACACAATCTAATATTTAATAAAGTTTATAGTCAATTTAAATGTCATAGTAAATTAGGTCAGTAAATAAAATTAGATTTTTAAATTTAAATAGCATTATTTTAGAATTTATGATGAATTTAATGATTGAATTAAGGTCTCCAAATTAAGTTCCTATATATTAGTCAGATGGATACGTAGTTAGTCGACTTGTATCTCTCTGTGTTGCTCAGTTTGATAAGAGTATAGGTTTCCTCTGATTAAACATTCCCATCTTTTCTGTTTGGAAGAATACTATCACACTTCTAGCCGGTGGATCTTTGTGGCAATGAAAAATTCCTCTGGTTGAAGAGCAAAAGCCTTTCACGTTGGGCTTATATCCTCTACTAGTAGCAATGTACGAGTAATGCAAATGGGACCGAATTTGAGAATCTTATGGGATGTGGTCATTAGATTAGTGATGGGCGTTATTATTGAGTAAAGTTCACTAATAATTCATTTCCCATAAGGGATCAGGTCACCGAATTCGATTCCCCAAGTAAATATAAGTAGCATTATTGTAAACTTCGACATGCAAAGTATTTTGCATAGTAATCTTTGGATTTTGATCTCTCCATCATATTTTTCTTTGATTTTACTCGGTATCAAATCACCTACGTATGAGGTCGGGCCACATTTTTAGGGATGCATTTAAATTTGTAATAGGTGATCTATCACGGTGAGAATGGGAGAGTGAGAACCCCACCAAGATTTGATTTTTTGAAAAAAAAAAATTATATTTTATTTGTTAAGTAACTTTTACAACACACTAAAAAAATTCTTGGATCCAGGCTCAAGTGACCTCAGTTAATCAAGTGCTTAGCATATTATAATCAGATAACAATGGTTTGATTGATTCAACGTGGTATACGTGATACGTTAGAATAATCATATTACAAACCGGATAAAGAAGAAAGTGTGACTGCCGACTGGAGTTATTGGAGAACCAAAAGCATCAAAAGAAATACTTTTTTCACTCGTTAGTTCGTATTTTCACACTCATGGAAAAGCAAACCCTACTACGAATTGGTTTCACCACCTACTATTACAACCATTGGTCGAGACCCAGATAGAAATTCATCCATGGAAAACCATCCTTCCGACTTGTTCCCTGTGGGCTGAACAAACATATTAATGGGTCCCCAAAGAAACTATATCATATAAAGTGTTCTAAGAGGGCTTGGGGAATGAAAACTGCGAGTCCTTTAGTTGATTACAGCTACATGTTTGTATAAAAAAACCATCAACTAGTGCTCCCATGTCATATGCTCATACAAACCTATTAAATTTGCCTCCAAGCTTATCCCTACCACAAAGAAACATTCCTTTTTATTTTCCATCTTTTGGCAAGAGAGATATAAAATTTCCATGCCTGGGTTGCTGGTACCAGTTTTTTTCTTTAACAAGTGGTTATGTGACAAAGTAAGAGCCCATTTCCTTGTGTGGAGTGGTCGTTAACTCATCAAGTAATTCCGATGACAAAACTTCCGAGTTTAATCTCTCGAAATCATAAATTCGAGTCTATGATCAAGTGTCACTTCTGATGACCCATTGCACTTAGTTCGTTGGTGTATGTGGGTATCACATATTTACATTGCAATCACAAATTTAAATAACACACGGTTGGGGCGTTTCTTGTACTCGGAATGAACAACAAAGTGCAGTTGTTGACTTCTTAGCATTCTAACACTAGCTAGCCACTTGAACTTTTGACTAACATCATAGGTCAATTACAGGATGCAGTAGTAACCCTTATTGTTACTTTTTGATTTTTTTTTTTGTTGTACCAGAATTGCGTCAACTATTCCATTAAATTTAGTGGTTGGTCATCATAACTTAAATTAGGTTAGAATATATAGAAAAATATTAAATTTGAGACCTCTAAATTATTAAAGGTCAAGTTCAACCACTGAATTATCCCTAAAAATTATATCAGTGTGAATTTGATGCAAAACCAATCTTTAGGATTTTGCTATTTAATTTTAATGTGGTCAACGTTCAATTAAGAAATTCTAGAAGATTTTATTTTATTTTCTTATTTAATTAAAATTTTATTTTATTTTATTTTTTAATTCAATTAGAAATTTTATTTTATTTTATTTCCTAATTTAATTAGGATTCTAGTAATTTGCTTGTGGTTTTAGAGTTTTTACTACTACATAAACGCTTTGTAAATATTAGGGTAAAGCATTTTGGGATGAATCAATAATATTGAAAGAAGTTTCTCTTTTCTTTCTAATTATTCTAGTATCCATAATAATCAACTAATTTATTGAATCCTTTAGGATTGGTATTTTGTATGAATCAACATACCTAGAGTAGGATTATGAATCGGTATTTATGTACAGATTAACGATTTAATTTCATTATTCATTTTCGTTTATTATACCTTTGTTTCTATCCGTTTTCCAATATCAGAATTGCGTCCTCAACAAACTAATAAATTGAGATGACGGAATAACTAACTATTCATCCATCTCCATCTTTGCTTTTAAATCAAATCTAAAGAAATAAAATCATCAAAAATTACAAAAAAGAAAACGACCTTTACTATGTTATTGTTTCTTTGTTTTGGTGCTAAACTATGTTATTGTTTCAAGTGTCTATTAAGGTATCTTACCCGACACGAACTTTGATTCAATCGCAACGATCCTAGCCTTGAAAATTAGACGTCTATAGATATATATTAGTTTCTTCCAGTTCAGAACTGTATAACAAATGAAGAAGCTGAAACCCAATATCAGATTCAATTGACATTTCACTAGCTCAACAAAAAAAAAAAAAAAAATTTGCTGATTCTAAAATAAACTAATGTGCAAGCAAGACAATAAATTTTTTAAAAAAATACTAGTTAACAATAAGAAAGACTAAAGCAATTAATCATATTTATAGGGTGGTGGAGCACGAAATTTTTTGCCGTCGGGGCAAATTAAAACTTAGAACATAAAACGATAATATTAACAGTATTTGTTCTAATATTAATTTTTTATTAACAAATTTATCCACGATTCATTTAACAATTGATTTGTTTAGCTCGACTCAAACTATATTTCAACAATTATTTTTTAATAAATTTTCAGTTCAAAAAAGAGTTTTCAAATAAACAAGTTATAAAGATCATAAATATTCAAAATAATTATGATGAATTTTAATAGGAAAAATTGAATATATCACACGCCTATTTGTGTTAAGAAACTATCACAATCTATGGAGGGTAAGTTTGGTTGTGAAAGAAAGGCTTCTAATGCATGACAAAATCAATAAACAGGTTGAAATAGTGTTAAGACACTTGACATGCTTAATTACATGGGTTATTTTAGAGTTGATTAAAACTTGGCACGAACCCGAAGTTCCACCACATGAATAATCAGCTTTCTACGTCAGCTGTCATGTCATTGGTCACTCTTTTTGATCCCTAATTTTGATTAGCATAGCATTATTCTTTTAGAAATATTACATTTGACTAGTGGATTGGGCATACCCATTGAACAAAGTTTGGCACGTGACCCAACCCAATAGAGTCTCAGGCTAAATCATTGTGGCTTGGGCTCTAGATTTTCTGGTCCTGGCCACCCAGCCCACGTACTCAAGATTTCCACCAGCATACAAACACTTCATCATCATCATCTCTCTCTCTCTCTCTCTCTCTCTCTCTCTCTCTCTCTCTCTCTCTCTCTCTCTCTCTCCTTTCATATGTGGAAGAAAAAAAGTAAAACTTATATTACAAATAAAAATTATTTTCTCATTAATGATTTTTTTTCCCACGATTTTAGGTTTTTTTTTTTGCTACAGGATATTCAGGTTTACGCTGACTATTCTCTCAAGCTCAATGTTGCTTAAGTTAATTTAAAACATGTACAAAAAGGGATAAAGATGGTTAGCCCTTGGGGGTGTGGGAATGGATTGAATGTGAGACTTTTGTGCTACTAAAAAATAGATTCAGCCACTGAATCACCTCTAAAAATTTGATTTAGAGTTAATAATTAATTTACGACATTCAAAAATGAATATATTTAACATGTACAAAAGTAGAAATATGAGTTAAGTTATGTTACGTCTGCATATCACAAAACGTGCTTTCTTGTTTTATGGTTGTTCTGTCTATGTCTATTGAGCTCGTCTAATGGGCTCACTCCAGGTCAAGCCTTGCCGATGTTAAATACATATTTGGATTTTTTTGGTGTAAGTATATTTTTTTTGATTTATTTGAGAGGAAGTGTATAGAGAAGTATTTTATACTATTAAGTTCAATTTTAATACAATTTTTTGTAATTAAGTACAAAATTCAAATGACATTTGAATTTTTTTTACTTATTTGCTCTTCCTTAAATTATATATAATTCTTATTCTTTCCCTCTCTCTCCATCACTCTCTCACCCTATTTTCTCTTCTTTATTTTTTTTGACATTCACCCTATTTTCTCTCTATCTTTCTATCTCTCTCTCTTATATTCTCTTTGTCTCTCTCCCATTGATAATTTATTTTCTTTTCAAGTAAAGATTTAATTTGATTTTTTCATCTTTCTCTCC